TTATTTTAATTCAGGAAAACTGTTTTAAAAAGTCATATGTAGAAGAAACATTTTGCACAGTCAAGCCCATTTGGATTGAACACTTGCTGAAGAAACCCTTGGATGAGTTTACAGAAACCTTAATCTGGTCCTAGCTAAAACAGCTAATTAATCTTGGAGTAGATGTAGCATGAATATTTGGTAGAATGGACAAGGCACAGTTATTAATTACTAACAGTTAAGGCTGTAAGGCTGAAAGATACTCTGGGGAAAATCTTTCTTAAAATTCACATTGAAATATGCAAACAGATATAGGAATGGCTATTTCAGAAGCACTAGCAAATACTAGGTGTTTATCTTCCACTGACAAGTCAGCATTAGGTACTTAATTGCCCTGTCTTTGAAAATCTCCATGAATTATAAAGTAACTGTTCAATTTTCTAGAAGAATCAGCTGAATTGCCTATATGTTTGTAATTTTCCATCATTAGAAGGTCACCACAGAAATGTGAGCTTCTAAAAACTGCCTATTGCTAGCCGGGAAAATCTAGACTGCTTAATTGTTCTGTTTCTTTTCAGTCCATTTTTAACCCATGAAAGTTAGGTGCTGGTGAAACAACTGTTCGCTTCAAAATATCTTAGCTAAATAAGATGTCTTCCTGGCATTTGATGTGCTTTATGAAGCATCTGACCCACATTAACATAGCCTGTTTTATAGGATGTTTAGGATATTTTTTACTCCATTCATTTTAACCTCTTTTACTTGAATAAAAAGGGCAATTGGATTAGTTGTCAGGGCAGATTGCCCTTTTTTGTTATTCATGTGGTGAATTATGAAGGTTTTATATTTGAAAAATTGTTTTTTTTGCCTCGGACTTTTTATTAGAATAGGTGATTGACTTTTTCAGATAATCATAAAACCTCACCTTGATTGGGATGGTATTTCAGCCTGGCCTTTCAGAAAGAGGGGAAAAAATAAAAAAAAGTATTGTGCTTCTGTTAGATGAAAAGTGTGGAAAAACATCTCCACAATCAGTTCTGTGGGAACAGTCCATATTGCTAACTGTCCAAGTTGCTGTTTGCTGCCTGGCTCCTCATCTAGGACTACCTAGATCATGGTGGAGAAAAGGTAAGTGTGAAAGTGACAGAAAGGAAAACTTGCATATCCGTGCCTCTTGTCTGGGTTCCTATCTATTAATTAATTCTGGGTTATATAGGGATGAAGCAGCATCTTTCTTTGATTACCTTTTTTTGAACACTTCCCTCCATTCCTTCACTGTTATTCAGAACAAAATAAAAAAATACTGTATCTCTGTGATCTGAAGAAGAGTCAAACCTTCTGGATGTTTCTGGTAAATTGGTAATGTAGATTTTTTTTTTTTCCCTGAAACATCCTGTTCTTTGGTATGAGTTATACTGGAGAGAAAAGGAAGAGGACAAATGTTTTTTTGTTTGGTGTGTGGGGTGATGTTTTTATGTGTGTTTTGGCTGGTTGCTTGTTGACTGCCAATGTTCCAAATAAGTCTCTCAGTGATAAGCAAGCTTCAAACAGAAACATATGGCAGTGTTTATCTCCAATATTGTCATCTAGCATAGGCAAAATTTCTGAACATCCATGACACAAGCTTCAGGTATTTGGAAATGTTCTTTCCAAGGTATTTGTTTCGCAAGAAGTTCTGTTCAAGAAGAGTTCACAGTTAGGAATGAATTTGACTGAGTTCTTGAGACACCATGATTTAAAAAATATAATTTTTCTGCCATCTATTAACAATTTCTGGGAAATATCTTTCTCTTGCACTTCTCCGTAGTAAAATTACTATGTTTTGAGACAAAATTGTAGCTACTGTGAGAAGTATTACATGTTACATGTGGTTTCCTTCCTTCCTTCCTTCCTCCCTCCCTCCCTCCTTCCTTCCTCCCTCCCTCCCTCCTTCCTTCCTCCCTCCCTCCCTCCTTCCTTCCTCCCTCCCTCCCTCCTTCCTTCCTCCCTCCCTCCCTCCTTCCTTCCTCCCTCCCTCCCTCCTTCCTTCCTCCCTCCCTCCCTCCTTCCTTCCTCCCTCCCTCCCTCCTTCCTTCCTCCCTCCCTCCCTCCTTCCTTCCTCCCTCCCTCCCTCCTTCCTTCCTCCCTCCCTCCCTCCTTCCTTCCTCCCTCCCTCCCTCCTTCCTTCCTCCCTCCCTCCCTCCTTCCTTCCTCCCTCCCTCCCTCCTTCCTTCCTCCCTCCCTCCCTCCTTCCTTCCTCCCTCCCTCCCTCCTTCCTTCCTCCCTCCCTCCCTCCTTCCTTCCTCCCTCCCTCCCTCCTTCCTTCCTCCCTCCCTCCCTCCTTCCTTCCTCCCTCCCTCCCTCCTTCCTTCCTCCCTCCCTCCCTCCTTCCTTCCTCCCTCCCTCCCTCCTTCCTTCCTCCCTCCCTCCCTCCTTCCTTCCTCCCTCCCTCCCTCCTTCCTTCCTCCCTCCCTCCCTCCTTCCTTCCTCCCTCCCTCCCTCCTTCCTTCCTCCCTCCCTCCCTCCTTCCTTCCTCCCTCCCTCCCTCCTTCCTTCCTCCCTCCCTCCCTCCTTCCTTCCTCCCTCCCTCCCTCCTTCCTTCCTCCCTCCCTCCCTCCTTCCTTCCTCCCTCCCTCCCTCCTTCCTTCCTCCCTCCCTCCCTCCTTCCTTCCTCCCTCCCTCCCTCCTTCCTTCCTCCCTCCCTCCCTCCTTCCTTCCTCCCTCCCTCCCTCCTTCCTTCCTCCCTCCCTCCCTCCTTCCTTCCTCCCTCCCTCCCTCCTTCCTTCCTCCCTCCCTCCCTCCTTCCTTCCTCCCTCCCTCCCTCCTTCCTTCCTCCCTCCCTCCCTCCTTCCTTCCTCCCTCCCTCCCTCCTTCCTTCCTCCCTCCCTCCCTCCTTCCTTCCTCCCTCCCTCCCTCCTTCCTTCCTCCCTCCCTCCCTCCTTCCTTCCTCCCTCCCTCCCTCCTTCCTTCCTCCCTCCCTCCCTCCTTCCTTCCTCCCTCCCTCCCTCCTTCCTTCCTCCCTCCCTCCCTCCTTCCTTCCTCCCTCCCTCCCTCCTTCCTTCCTCCCTCCCTCCCTCCTTCCTTCCTCCCTCCCTCCCTCCTTCCTTCCTCCCTCCCTCCCTCCTTCCTTCCTCCCTCCCTCCCTCCTTCCTTCCTCCCTCCCTCCCTCCTTCCTTCCTCCCTCCCTCCCTCCTTCCTTCCTCCCTCCCTCCCTCCTTCCTTCCTCCCTCCCTCCCTCCTTCCTTCCTCCCTCCCTCCCTCCTTCCTTCCTCCCTCCCTCCCTCCTTCCTTCCTCCCTCCCTCCCTCCTTCCTTCCTCCCTCCCTCCCTCCTTCCTTCCTCCCTCCCTCCCTCCTTCCTTCCTCCCTCCCTCCCTCCTTCCTTCCTCCCTCCCTCCCTCCTTCCTTCCTCCCTCCCTCCCTCCTTCCTTCCTCCCTCCCTCCCTCCTTCCTTCCTCCCTCCCTCCCTCCTTCCTTCCTCCCTCCCTCCCTCCTTCCTTCCTCCCTCCCTCCCTCCTTCCTTCCTCCCTCCCTCCCTCCTTCCTTCCTCCCTCCCTCCCTCCTTCCTTCCTCCCTCCCTCCCTCCTTCCTTCCTCCCTCCCTCCCTCCTTCCTTCCTCCCTCCCTCCCTCCTTCCTTCCTCCCTCCCTCCCTCCTTCCTTCCTCCCTCCCTCCCTCCTTCCTTCCTCCCTCCCTCCCTCCTTCCTTCCTCCCTCCCTCCCTCCTTCCTTCCTCCCTCCCTCCCTCCTTCCTTCCTCCCTCCCTCCCTCCTTCCTTCCTCCCTCCCTCCCTCCTTCCTTCCTCCCTCCCTCCCTCCTTCCTTCCTCCCTCCCTCCCTCCTTCCTTCCTCCCTCCCTCCCTCCTTCCTTCCTCCCTCCCTCCCTCCTTCCTTCCTCCCTCCCTCCCTCCTTCCTTCCTCCCTCCCTCCCTCCTTCCTTCCTCCCTCCCTCCCTCCTTCCTTCCTCCCTCCCTCCCTCCTTCCTTCCTCCCTCCCTCCCTCCTTCCTTCCTCCCTCCCTCCCTCCTTCCTTCCTCCCTCCCTCCCTCCTTCCTTCCTCCCTCCCTCCCTCCTTCCTTCCTTCCTTCCCTCCTTCCCTCCCTTCCTTCTTTTTGTGGTAGACTGGAGGATTCATTTAACTGGAGCAGAATAAAAAGGGTTAAAAAAGAACTCTTGGGTGCAAGGCCTTTCAATGTTGATTATGCTTATTAAAGCTGAACAGTGTTCTTTTTTATCAGATGCTTCTGCAGCACAAATCTCATTTTAGTCTAGAGATTTTTTGTGCTTACAGGAAAAATGCTAGTACAAATACTTCTGGCTGTGGTCAGAGGTGGCACTTGCATATCTATATTTTCTTCTGTCAATCAAAATATCCTCCTGGATGGTTCAGCTTGTTAATAGTGTTAGCAGGAGGTATGCTAGGGCTCTTCCCTGAAATACAAGCCTAGTTTTTCTCCATAGAAGCACCTGAATTTATCTGCTGGGAGGATTAAAACATGAAATTTTTCTTTCCATTGCAATTCCTTTCCTGCAGACTTAGAAACTGATTGGTAGCATTCCATATCGCTCTGTTGTGCCTTATGCAAAAGTGCACCCTTCACTTTCAGGTTTTCAATTCTTAGAAAGGCTCTGAGAGTGCTGGTTGAGAGTATAGTAACTATACATGCATTAGTTATAAAGACTGTGCAAGATAACGTTAGCGAGCAGAGTGTGTGAAAGTTTCTGAATATTCTACTTACTCCAATATGATAATTCTTTTGGAAAAGAATGACTGAAGGTTTATGACTGAAGTGTCTGCTTCAAACTGATCAGAGGATCCTGTGTGCTTCAGTGTTTGTCTTGCTCTGTTCTTTTGGCAGTGTCTAATAAACAGTGGTTACATCAGTTATGTGTATACAGTGCACTTTGAATGATATAATATTACAGTTTTTAAGTTTGTGTGTACCCATTTAAAACCCAAATCTTTCTTTTTATTTCTGGTTCCATATAGGTCTTCAGGTATGTCACTGGCTATGTATTAACCTCTGATCTCTGTTCTTCCTTTCTAGCACTGGCTTGAGCCCAACAAGTCCATCTTCAAGCAAATGAAATGTAAGTATTGATAGTTCATGTCTTTAATCTGGTACCTGGTTTTAAAATGGCTAAAGGTTTTCTCTGCTTCTCTTCACTTGTTCAGAATGTGCTTAATTTGTTTCTTGCTGCAAGGAGGCCTGTCATGTCCTTTTGAGAGCCCTGCAAAATCCATCCTACTTTCATTTCATTGTCATTTCACTGCTCTGCACATCAAGAGCATTCCCCTGGGGCTCAAGGCTAGAACCAGAGGCTGGCTGGTGTGTGGAGTGACATCTCTGATAAGAAGACTTGTGTGTTCTGGCCCAGTTTTTCAGTTGCATGTAATCAACCATGAATAGACTGCAATAAAATACAGAGTGTGGCAATCAACCCCTTGGGGCCAGAGGAGGTTATTTCTCTCTCCTCAGTCCCCACAACCTTCTGGCAATGCAGATCATTAGTTCTAGATCATAGTTACAAAAAAGTAATTTCAGAGCTATGTAATAGTTGTTTAAGATGTGCTGAGTTCCTACCACAGATGAACAGAAAATTACAATAATATAAAAAAAAGAAAAAAAAAATCTTTTAGATTGTGTTTTGGAAATGTAAAGTTATGTTGTGTGTGGCATATCCTTTCCATTAATTTGGCCAGCTGTGAAGACTGGTTCAGAAAACAAAACTACCTTGATGCTCAGAAGTTCATACTCAGAGCTGAAGAGAGCTTTCATTTGGCAGTCCCTGAAGACTTGAATTAGGTCACTGAGAGTATCTTCTTGTTTTATTAAAAGCTGTTGTTAACCTGCATAGTTTGTGACATGAAGGAGAATTTCATCCATAGGCCTCTTCATATGTGATTGTTTTGTTTCTTAAACATGAGTATAAGCTGCCTATTGTGTGGTAGGTAATATATTTATTATTTTAAAATAAGATAAGGCTACAGAAATTACCTAATGAGCAAAAACAATTCTGAATATTGGCTGGACTGCATCAAATGCTTCAAGAAATTTTTCCATTAATGTTGCAGTCTACATGCTGCAAGATGTATTTACATGAACACATATGCATGCATGCATATATTTAGCATATCAGATAGATAAGGACTGTTCCATTTAGTGTCTACCCTGCTGACGTATCCACCTTTCAAAATAAGCAAGATCGAGAATATCAAGCTGAGCTTAAGTAGTTCATCTGCAGTGCTAATGAAGGAAGAAATGGGGACTCATAATTAGAAATTACATCAAAAATAAAAAACTGTCTCCTCAAAGTATCCTGTAATCTGCATGTATAGCATTGCATTCCCCTAGTGAAGCATGAGAGCTTGTGCTTCTTGTGCTTCTTGGTGCATTTTGCATAGCAACATATTTGGGAACTCTGCAATAGATGCTCTGAGAGTATTTTGATTTATTCATAACAACTCTACCTGCAAATAGATGTTGCCTAGATGTGATCAGTACTTGGTACACCCTAAATTACATAGATGTTGGGATGTGATCATCAGAGGATCTGTGTGACTTTTGTTGTAGAATCCCGGTGGGAACTCAGAACAGTCAGATTCATTAAAATAAAAATAAAATAATAATAAAAAAACTACTATGAGCTTACTTATTACTGTGAAAAGTGATAGATGCTCCCTTCCTCCTCCCCGCCCGCTGAATAAAATTAGAGGCCAACAAAGAAGTTTTGTTAGCATGCTTAGGTGTGGGGTCCAGAAAGACTTAAATTAGTGGTTGGTTGATTTAGTTTTTCATAAGCAAATTCAGTTTGATACCAGTGTAGCTTGACTTTGCTTTTTGTTACAGATGTAGAACTTAAGTCCTTAACCCTTCAAGGAAAAAAAAAAAACAGGATATTGCATATAAGATCCATGTACATTATGGATGTATCTTTCTTCCTCACGGGTTTTGAAGACACACTCTTCTGAAAGCATTTCATATCAGAAACCTCTTGCTTTATTTTTCTGAAAAGTCTGGCACTCCTGCATTGACATGATAATTTCTAAGCAGTCTCTAAAATAATTTTCTAAGTAATTTCTAAGTAAACTGTAAAGGCACATAAGATTAATTTGCATTTTGTCAACAAATATGCAGTTTATTATGAAAAGATTCTGACTCAGAATTCAGCCTGGTTTATAAATTACCAATATTCATGCAAAAAGCATCTCTATCTCAGGTGACCCAGATGAGGATTGAAATTAATGGTAAGTGGAAAGTGTGAAAACAAAAGCAATGAAGTGACAGGTAAATAGAACATTTATTGTGTGTATATGATTTCTGGGAGACGTGGTGGCAGAATGTTGATCACAGTGTGGTGGGGGAAGGTTTATTTTCTTTAATGAATTCAATGAATAGGGAAATGATCTCTTTTGCAAGTGTGGACATTCATTCTCACATACAAGAGCAGACTGCAGTTAATATTAATTATTTTAAATGTTCCAGGTTCAACTGACCAATGGGATTAAGACAGGATTATGAAGCGTTTAGATATATGCAGCAAAAAGTAGAGAAGTGCTGCATTCTTGATACCAGCTAGCATGTGTGGGGGATTTAACTTTTCCCCCAGCACAGTAACAAGTTTTTCACTGTGTTTACTCGCAGAGCATACTATTGTGAAGTATTCAGAGTGGAAGAGAAAGGCTAGGGGTAGTGGTCTACCACAGATTTCAGTAGGTACCAGATCTCGTGGAAGTCAGTAGTGCTTGGATGATTCAGACATAATCCCAGTATACGGTCACGTTATGCAGAGATCCCATTTCAGCAGCTGTCCATATCTGCCAGTAAGACAGAACCAACCCAGACAGGCTTCAGAGCATCGAACATAAAATGTCCTGCTATTTTAATTTCTTTAACAATGTCAAAGATTTCTTTAAGTTCTTACTTACTAATACTGGGATATGAGAGAAGGCATGTTTTATGTTTTGTCATATCACGTGTGTAAACTAATTTGAGATTGTGCTGCTGTAATGTAAGAGGAATGAAGGTATAGCATTTGTTTTGTCTTAGCATTTACTACCTCCACTGAAATGTTGGCTGTTTCATAACCTGATGTGCAAATTCTAAATCTGTGCGTCCGCAGTTTTTATTGCTAATAATTTATTGTTAATTTACTGAGAAAGGAAATTCTCTGCTTTAATCCCCAAAGAGTGTCCTGAAACTTTGCCAGTCTTGTTTGTCATGGCTGGAAGTCAATCAGTGGCCTGTGACTGCTACCAGTAAACCTTATATATCAGTATGTTCATCAGCAGAACCAGCTTCCAGTAATGTATTTAAAAACACTTTGAGGTTGCCTGAGGTAGCTGCATATCTGTGGTTCTATGTAAGGGCCTTTTTTTTGCTATTTTTGCTCTTCTTTTGTGTGTTTTTCTGTATGCCATTATTCTCTCCCAGATATTAATAAAGTTCCTCTCCATTTTGCAATCTTCTTACAATTTTTGACTTGTTTTCTCTTCAGGAATTTTTGCTATGATTCCGACTGGTCACATCAAAATGTATAAGGAGAGGCCTCCAGTCAACTTTTTAAAAATTCATTTTAAGATTTTTTTCTGTAATAAGTATGCAACTATTCTGTTTTCTTGGAAATACTCAGCTGTATGGGTGCTGTTTTTGCCAACCATTGAAATTTCTAAGAAAAAGATATGACATAATGGTGAAAGTAGAGGAAAATAAGCACACGATCAAAATTTATTTTCTTTCACTGTCTTGCTTTTCCAAGAGAGAATGCAAATAGAATACTCTCCTGCAGCAGGCCACTAAGGTTTGTTAAGGAACTCTAATGCTGTTGTGAAATGTAAAAAAAGATTGAATGAACCAGGGAAACCAAATCCAGGCGCAGAGATAAGAGTCATTCAAACTTCCTAACAGAATATGTAATCTCAACAAACTTGTCGATATTGCTGTTGCAGTCTAGATTTTTTTTTTTTAAAAAAAGGTGTAACCAAGTAGAGCATTTGTAAATCCCTGCACAATGAAAACAAGAAGTTTTTTTATGTTCCCATGGGTACTAAGCTATTTCTTCTTTCATAAAAACTTCATAAAACACTAAGACACTTGGATTCATTATGACAACTATTTGAGAAAAATCACTCCTGCCCTGTGAGGTACCAAAACTGTTTTAAGTGCAGTGAGGAAGATCCCAGAATTTGAGGTTTATGATAGACCAAGTATTTCTTATGCAAAAATAAAAGTACTTTTTAGTATTCTATTTGTCTTGAATGCATTCATCAAGTGGTTTAGATAAACAACTGACTTAACCTGATTAAGGAAAAGGCACGCAGAAACTACAGCATATGTTGTAGGTGTCCCTAAAGATCTTTCTGCTGTTTCAGTGAATTTAAAGACTATTTGGATGCTTTTTTTTAATGCATGCTGATTTTTAGTAGGATAGTGTAATTCAGAGAATATATAATATCAAAGAAAGATGAAGGAAGTTTTCTGACATAGTACAATCTCAAGACTATAAAGATAAGTTAGATATCTGCTTTTACCTTTCAGTGTCCCTGTGCAAATATATATTTATATACATATATATATATATAAAATGTCAAAAGATTTCCTTTAAGGAGCTAGCATTTGTGCTGGGAAAAAAAGCAGGTTGTTAAAAAGAACCAACCAACCTTGAAAGTTGCAGATGAGAATCTTCCACCTTTCTCCCTCTTTGGTTCATATTTCTAGAACTACAGTCAGGTTTTTTCACTTTTTTTTTGAAACTTTTCTTGTTTTATGTACATAGCATTTGCTTGAAATTGTCTTTCTGTGAGCAAAATGATTGTTTGAATGTGTATTTTTCATTAGGCTTCTCATTCCCTGTAAGCTTTCAAATACATAGAAAACTTGCATAATTCAGGGTACCTAGCCTAAAAACAAGAGCATGTGAATCTCATTCCTGTATACATTAGTTAGTATCTGTGCCAAGGGGTGAAACTCCCAAAGCCCTGCTTGCTGCACCCAGCATAGTAGAGGTGTAGTTCGACTAAGAACTCCTTGCTGCCTGGTGCACACAGGACAGCTTATCTTGGCTCAAGGCAACTGAAATAAATCTTTAAAAATTGCAATCAGTTGCCTGGAAACCCCCTAGACTGTGGGTTTCCTGAGGGACTAGATGACGTTTACTGCAGTCAATGGTTTCAGCATGTGATATCATTCAAGTAGGTTTTATTCTTTTGTCTTCATCTCTTATGTGCTGTTAGCACATAAACTGGCAAATTAATAGCCCTGCTGTAATAGAGTTCCAGCCAGCACTATTCCCTGCATTAAAATCCTTTGAAATGTTGGTAATTGTGAATCTTTTTTAGTAAGATGGCAAGCTTGTGATGGTAGGAAATTCTGACAAAGCCTTGGGCGCTTCACTACACCAGCTGCTCCTTATCTGCCAGATAAAGGACCTCTCTGAAAGAAAAGCCTTATAGCTATTTTAAGCTACTCATTGTATTCAAATGAGTTTGGGGCTGAAGGATCATTCTTTTGGAAAACATGCTCTATTTTGGGGATGTTTGTTGTTGTTTGTGTTTTCACTTTAATGTGGGAGTAAGCTGCAGAAAGTCTGATTTCATGGAACTGGGGCTTTGTCTGATTTCACAGTCTCATCCCCTTGGCTCTTACAATTCATCTCCTGTCTTCCTTTCCATCACAAGAATATAGTGACTGAAAGAATATGAGGTTCTCTGGTGTGTTTCTCCAGTGCTGTAAAACCCATGAGACAAAGACATTAAATACTTATATATAGTCAAATGGATGTCGGGATGGGGACATGAGTTTTATGCTGATTTTAAAATAAAAATTGAAAGGAAAGTCTGGACTTCCTCTTTCCTTTCCCTTTCAAATGATCATTGTTCATGAAAAGAGAAAACAGAAAAGAGAAACCTCTCATTTTGTAAGTGAATGTAGTAATGAAAGGTGACTTTTCTATGATAGACCTGGAGATAAATTGCATGGATGAGATCACGTTCTTTTTAATGTGTCAAATTACAGGTCAGAATTGTGACAACCCTGCAGGTGTTTCTGAGAAAGGACGTTTATTTAGCAGACTGCTGCAGCCTTGTTTTGTATTCCTTGCTGCACTTCTGAGAACATACACTGCTACAGACCTTGAGTCTAGGGGGAGATTTGCTGAGTAGCCTCACGTTAGCTTACTGAACCGTCTGGATACTGCATATTCTGCGTGTTGATATACTGCTGCTATCACGTACTGCCCTTTCACTTACACTTTTACTAACCTTTTCTATTAATGTGGGCTATTCTTTATTGCATTTCATGTCATCCTTTCCTGTGCATACATCACTTTGTAATGATGCACTTTATGTATGGGACTCTTAAACTCTTTTTCTTTCTTACTTTTATTCCTCTGTTTTTGTTTTTTTCTGTCTGTTTCTATCTGTCTTCTTTGTGGTATGGACATACCATCGGCCAAAACCAAAGTGTCAGTCATTTCATTGACATCAAAGTATCAAGCCAATCATAGGATCTTGCAGAGCCAGATACTACCTCTTCTTATTACTGTGTTTCTTTTTCAAGCACAAACTACTAAATCTGCCAGGAGTGTTTTTCCTTTTGTTTTATCACTCTCTCTGAGAAAGAGCTTTAATAAAAGTTGGCTCTTCTATCAAGTTTGGTTAGCAGGGCCATATCTTGAAAGTGAAGCTTTTTTCCCTTGCTTAGTTTTTAGTAGACTGTTAAGAAGAGACAGAGCCATTTCAGGTGACTTATATTATTCTCTGCTTTGCCCAGGCAGCATGACTTTTCAGGGTATCTTTCAATGGTTATTTTACTTGGTTGTTTTCTGGTACATTGAATTCAGTTTACTTTTTAGTTTGCCCTGATGGAGCACCTGAAGGACGTAACAATTTTCTCTGTTTTGCAACCTACTTCTAATCACTTTTAGAAAATGCTGTGATTGCATCTAAGAGGCTGAAGCCTACAGAAATAGTCTGATTTCCTCTAACCTTGTGAACCATTGTCCTTCTTCAGATCTGATAGCCTGAATGTTCAAACCATGGCTAGACTATACCTTAGGTTTAGTTGTTTTTCTTTCTCCATTCCTTCCTAATTTTTTCTCTCTATTATTATTCCTTATTTATTCCTAAATTTTTTCTGTCTTTGTATTTTTCATGTCTCCTTCCCCTTCTCTTCTGACATTTCTCCCTGTTTCTGAAATGACTAGCTATGTAAATGTGGATTTTTTTTTTTTATTGGGGCTGGACGTATTAAAATTAAGTAAGTGCAGCATAAACTCTTAGGAGGGGAAAATATATCTTCATCTTGAAAAGCAGGCAAATGGTCTGAAGGATACAACCATAACAAAAAATAAAATGCATTTTTATTTTTTGTTGCCTTTGTTCTTCACATGGACTTGTGTGTTATTCCGTACATGCATTTGAGGAAAACAGCAGCAGACAGATAAAGGCTGCAGTTAAAATAGCTTTTAAAATTTCACAATTGTTGTTCACAATCTATTTTCTGTATGCAATTCAAACAAACCAATAAATGAACTAATAAGACTGATAAAATGCTGTAGTAAAATAATCCAGTAGCTTAATAATTGCTGTTATAGACTATTAAATGTACTATTAAATGTATAGACTATTAAATGTAATTTTCTCTTCCAACTGTTTCTTTCCTATATTGGCTGCTGTAACTTTTTTTGGCCTTCTCTCCTGGTTTTCCTTCTTCCTCTCCCTAAATTCACCATCTCTTTAAGATACCGAAAAGACAGACTGAATGTGTGCCAGGCAGCATTAAAGCAAAGGGATTTTTAAAACTAAACAGAGTTTAGTTTTAATGTTTAATGTTTTAATGTTAGTTTTAGTAACTAAACATTACTATGACTTATATTTACACTTTTCTTTAAAATAAAAATAAAAAGGAATAAAATCTTGTTAAAATGAAGTGTCTAACTGTCCTATATTAGTGTGAATGTGAATTGAAAGTTAGTTTCATATGTTACCTAAACTATTTCCATAAAAGGATTATAATTCTGCACTCATATCTTTAAGATGCTACCTGAAATTAATACAATGCTTCCAAGCTCCAATTTTGCTCAGTCTCCCCTTTTTCTCTTTCAGTCCATCTGGCTATTCTGGTAAACTTTGGTACAGAGGCCCCTCACACTAGTTACTATCCGGAGGCTTAATTTGCTTTGCTAGCAGTTTTGCCTTTGCTCTTGCTCCATCCCTGCCCTTGTTATCAGCAGACCTGGCAGTTTCTTCAGTTTCTAACTGAAACTCAAACCATGAAATGTATCAGGGAACAGGTAGCCCTGAGAGCTCTGCCTACGTCAGGCCTGATTTTCAAGCCTTCTCCATGGTTTTTGCACTTGGTTTATCCTAATGCAATTATCAGCAGGTACTTCTTTGATTTGCTCTTGTCCTTTCTGTAAGGCTCTTGTCCTAGGATCAGGACACTCATGCTATATGCATTAAGACAGAATTGAGACATGCCTATTGCAGGAGTGAAATCATTGCTTTATTTTATTTTTTATTTATTTTTTAGATTTTTTTCAGGAAAATGAAAGTATTTTACTTATTTGAGGCTCAGTATTGCTACCATTGTTTGAGAATAGATAACATAGTCTAAGTAAATGTCAGAAACAAAAACAGTTCTGTTGTGCTCTGGTCACATTAGCCAAATTTAAAGAATTGTTTGTTTCATTCTGTAGTCAAGGCATTATCATTACCGGGAATAACAATTATGTGTAATATTTTGTACTTCACAATGATGAGATGCAACTGTTTCCTGTTTATCAATTAGAACAAAAGAAAACAAGTTTCAAAAACAAAAAGCAAACTAGCAACCCAGATGTGTTTTGTGTTCCTTGGATCAAGCAGTAAAACCTGTGAGGTGTAAAGCTGCGTATAAATTGATTTGCAGAAATCAACTGCATTTTGCATGTGCTCTGGTTCCTTTGTCACGCGTTTTATTTACATATATATATATACACATATATATAAAACAAATTTTAGTTTTGTTGAATTGTTTCAGCTCATCCACCGTATACCATGTGCTTTAGAGTGAAATTCTACCCACATGAACCCTTGAAGATTAAAGAAGAGCTCACCAGGTATTTTTTTGTCTGTGCATTTAATGTACATTGTTGACTAGTTCAAAATAAGACAAACAGTTGCACAAGGTACAATTTCCATTATTCATTATAAATGAATTTATTCTTTTTATGCTTAATGTGATACACATTGCATTTAACTATTGACAGGCATTTTGGCCTTTTAGACGCCTGATCTCAGGTGTCTCAGATTTTTTTCTTTTGTAAAATAAAACCGTGAAGTTTAATTCGCTAATGGCCCTACCTCACTAAAAAGGAACATGAATAGCCTCACTGAATTTGCTCTTGGTCATGTGTCTTTAGGACCAACAAACACACCCATGCAACAGATCAGTCATACTTAATAGATGGAGGAGGGAGTTTTGTGCTATCTGGTAGCCATTGCGAATGCTCCATTGCTCTGGTGTTTTCAAGAAATGTACTGGGGAAAAATGCTGGAAGGTAACAGCTTTTTTGACCTCTGCAGCAGCCATGCTATGTGTCGCTTTTCCACATCGCTCATCAGCAGGTCATGTTGCTGACTAATACTTGCACATTGCAGAAGCTGAGCACTTGAGCTCTTTATTTACACTTCCCCAAGCTCTGCAAATTCCTAACATTCGTGAGTCACGAATTTGAGAATGGGAGAGGTCCCATTATCACTTGTCTCATATTCTAAGTTTCAGGAACAGTTTATATTCTGCTAAATGGTAAGTTTATAGATTGTGTAGAGCAGCTTGAACATGCTGTTTGTATTATGACTGTTTATCTTGGGTAAAATATTAAAACTGCTTAGCTGCATGGACAGATTGTAACTCAGAAAGTGAAAGGATTTTCATTATTTTGGATAAACATTTTGGATATATTGAGCTTGGTATGAATTTTCCCTATTCAAGTGTTCAATTCTGATAGTAACTGTGTTTAGACAAGTTACAGTGTTGCTCCTACTCAGTAGATATCTAGTGGGTGTCTATAAGCCCCCATGGAGACAATGAAATAATGTCACATTGTCCTTCTACCATTTGGTTCAGAATATTAATTAACACAGTCTATAAACTCCCCCATGTGGATTATTGTCAATTTGTAAAGCTTCATAGGAATAAATTGTAAATAAAGCACCTTAGAGACTTCAGAAATACACAGATGCTAAGAGAAGTTGTCTTACTTTCTATTCTGTGGCAATATCTGATTGAAAAAAATTCACACATTCAATTTTTTGAAGCTGTGTGTTGCAGGAGGAAAATCATTTGATTTCTTGAAGAAATATTATGAAATAGAAAGGAATAGTATTCTGGATTTAGTTATCATTTTCAAGAGGAGACTGGAGTATTTGTTGCCTCAAATTACTACTGATTCACTTCCGTCCTACCTTTGGTAAAGTAGACTGTAATTCTTGAGCTAGGCTGTTGTTTTATGGTTGGAATTGTTTGGGGAAAATTAAGATAAAAATTATCAAACTGAAGCCAAGAATGGCTACTGTGTTATAGGAAAAAATCATAATCTGAAAATTTATGCACACCACATGCTCAGAAGTTCTGTATCAGGAATCCCTTGGGCAAATAACTGACTAAACCACTCACTTTCTTGTCATTGCATTTAGTTCCACTGTTAGGGAAGTCTGTGAATATTGTCTCTTATATCATACCATGTTCTAATGATTGCTTTCATCTTTCCTCTTTTTAATTAATACTGGTTTCTTTAGTTAGGCTTTTGAAATAAAAATATGCCTGCCTGTGGATGTTGATGATTTTGAGATATTACTTCCTCCTAGAAAATCCTATCTAGGATAAAATTTTAGTGTATTCCTGAAGAAGTAGTTTTTCTGCGTGTGATCCTTACACACTGTTTTTATAGATTTCTGCTAATGTTAAAATTCAAATTCACAGTATAACTATTTTGACCATGTAAACTGTCACTTGAAATCTCTTGTTCGTGTAATAACAGTCTGTGTGAACGCCTGCATGTCAAAAAACCCTAAATCTTGCTGCACTTGAATGTGCAAGAAATGGATATTCCATCTCTTTAACTTGTGACAACATAGATTTAGAAGATGAGCTCTTATTTTTAGAAATGCTGCTTTGTCAGATTGGCATTTAGGCCATACATGTTTGAAATCAATTTGAGCAAGACTAAAGGAATTCTTTAGTAAAGGCACACTAAATCTTTGTAAAGAATTTTATGATGAGAAAATGGCCAGGATACAACTTACTCAAATGAATAGACCTCTCAATTTATTTCAGGTGCCTGGGAGACCCTGTAGATTTTAATGCAAACAACAAATGTAGGTTTTTTTTTTTTGTATAGTTTGATAGACATTTGCACTGAGAATGGCACTGGACCTTAGTGCTAGTGTTCTTCTATACCATCGTACCTGAGAGTGTGACTCGTGTTTTGTGTGTGGTAACTGGAAGGTGTCAGGCTTTTATGATTTTTATATCTTCGGTGTTCTGGATCAGATAATCTGGCAGACTTATAGACTGTATGAAGTTAGGACAAAGTACTTTTTTTTTGGAAAGCAGCATTTATCTGGCTTCAATGGGCATCTCTCCTGAGAGTAATAATTACTAGTTTTTAATTAGGCAATGGTCGACATAATAAGCAGGTCCTCACATCTCCTTTGTTCCCTGCCATGCATACTTATAAAACATAATTTCAGTTTCTGTTTTCCATTAAACCAAAGATCTGCTCTCCAATCTATTTTCTGAATGACTCTCCATAGAATTTTGGTAGAGGCCTTGAATACGTGCACTTGCAGTACTGCTGCTAATTTCCTTTGCCTTTCACCTTGGTGAATTCCTGTTGCTTTTGCACAGAGCATGACACACTGGGAAGGGAGAACAGTTTCTTTTTAGCCATGGGCATGGAAATACAGTAAGAAAAAATGATGGATATTCCAGAGTTTTCTGTAATAGCCCAGATTATTCTACTTACATGTAAAGATGTAAAAGCATCGTGAAGGAGGCTGTAGTGGCAGTAATCACCTGACCTGCTGTGCACTCACATCCCGGGTCAAAGACTGGTTATACTTGGGCAGAGATTTTTCTATTATATTGTTTCTCTTTGGTGTTCTTGTTTATGTAATTTGTCAGTGTATTCTTTCTTCAGAAATAATATAGCAAAATGCTTTATGTCTTCTTATGCCCACATCCCTACATCTTGCAGTATATGTATAATTAAAATGAGTGAATCTAATGTCATTTGAGGTCCCAAAGGGACATTCTGAAGTGCTTTAGATAATACTGAGTCAGCAGTAATCCATGATTACTGAAGAGAAAACTGAGCCGCTGAGAAGTGTGGTTAAGTAGCTGAAGATAGTTGGATTATTCCAACTAGCCTTCATCTTGTGCTTTTTTTTTTTTCCTAATCCATATGTTAGAAGCAGATCTTGTGGAAGAAGGGCCAGGCCACATCGGAATAATATAGGAACATTGTCAGAGAATGCAGGGATGCAACGAGGAAGGCCAAGGCCTGTTTGGAATTAGAGTTAGCAAGAGATGTCAGGGGCAAGAGGAAGGGGTTCTATAAATATATCAGCAGCAAGAGGAAGACTAGGAAAAATGTTAGTCCACTGCTGAATGAGGAGGGTGAGGTCTTGATGACAGAGGATGCAGAGAAGGCAGAGTTTCTAAATGCCCTCTTTGCTTCTGTCTTTATTGCTACAGCTAGTCCCTATGAGGGGGACTAGCCTGGAGCCTGGAGACAAGAGAGATAAGCAGGAGGGAGGAAGACTTTCTGCTGGTCAAGGAGGATTGGGTTAGGGGTTATTTAGGCAAACGGGACACCCATAAATCTATGGGCCCAGATGGGCACCCAAGAGTGCTGAGGGAACTGACAGGGGTTATTTCTCAGCCACTCTCCATCATCTCTGAGAGGTCATGGAGGGCAGGCTAGGTGCCTGAGGACTGGAAGAGACCAACGTGTTTTCCAAGACTGGAGAGGCTTTGAAAATAGCAAGAGGGAGGACCCAGGAAACTACAGGCCAGTCAACCTCACCTCCGTCCCTGGAAAGGTGATGGAGCAGCTCATCCTAGAGACCATCTCTAGGTATGTCAAGGAGAAGAAGGTGATGAGGAGGAGTCAGCATGGATTCACCAAGGGAAAGCCGTGTTTGATGAACCTGATAGCCTTCTACGAAGAGGTGACCGGCTGGATGGATGATGGGAGAGCCGTGGATGTTGTCTGCCTTGACTTCACCAAGGTTTTTGACACAGTTTCCCATAAAATCCTCATAGGAAAGCTCTGGAAGTGTGGACTGGATGAGTGGACAGTGAAGTGGATTGAGGACTGGCTGAACGGCACTGCTCAGAGGGTGGTGATAAATGGGTCTGAGTCTAGTTGGAGGCCTGTGGCCAGTGGTGTCCCCGGGGTCAGTACTGGGCCTGGTGCTCTTCAACTTGTTCACCAGTGACTTGGACGAGGGCACAGAGTCCACCCTCAGCAAGTTTGCAGATGACACGAAACTGGCAGGAGTGGCCGACACCCCCGAGGGCTGTGCTGCCATTCAGAGAGACCTGGACAGGATGGAGAGTTGGGCAGAGAGGAACCTCATGAGGTTCAACAGGGACAAGTGCAGGGTCCTGCCCCTGGGGAGGAATAACCCTAGACACCATGACAGATTAGGGACTGATCTGCTGGAAAGCAGCTCTGCAAAGAGGGATTTGAGAGTCCTGGTTGACAGCAAGTTAACCATGAGGCAGCAAAGTGCCCTCATGGCCGAGAAGGCCAATGAGATCCGGGCCTGCATGAGGAGGAGCATTGCCAGCAGGTCGAGGGAGTGGATCCTGCCCCTCTACTCAGCTCTGGTGAGGCCGCACGTGGAGTATTGGGGGCAGTTCTGGGCTCCCCAGTACAAAAGGGACATGGAGCTTCTAGAGAGGTTCCAGTGGAGAGTGACAAAGATGATTAAGGGACTGGAGCATCTATCTTATGAGGAAAGAGTAAGCAAGCTGGGCCTCTTTAGCCTGGAGAATAGAAAACTGAGAGGAGATCTGATCAACATGTACAAGTACCTGAGGGGAGAA